GCCCCCGCCTGCCCCCCTTCTACCGCCACACACAGCCCCCAACCTCCCTCCTTGCTGCCCCAGCCACGTACCCTCCTCAGGACGGTCGCTGCCACTTTGGGGCAAAACCCCGGCCTCGTCTGCCCTGCAGGCTCACCCGCCCGCCCGCCGTAGACGGCAAAGCCCCTGCCTGGCATCGTCCCCCTGTGTCATATTTATTATTAAGACTCACGGCTTCGCGCCTCTCCCCGCGGGTCGTGAAGCCGTGTGACGTGCTCCACGTGCGATGCTTATTGGGGGGTGGTTTCAGTCGCCCAGTGGTAGTGATTGAACATCGGACATTCGGGGTGCAGCCTCGAAATCCTAGACCTTAAACGCCAGAGGCTGCAAGGGGGAGAGGAAAGGGGGGAAAACCCCTGGTCATACCCCGTTCGCTTCCCCTTTCTGCACCCGCTCTCTACCACTGCGACATAGGAGACCGGGCAAGACGGACCTATGGGCTGACCCAGTAAATGGCATTTCTCGCGGGTTATGTACGTGTTGCAAAAGGCTGGTATTTGTCCCATGGCGTTCCAGGCATAAAGAGACGTTGTTAGCTATGTTAGTCTGAAATCAAGTAGATGGCAGGGTAGATTAGCACTTTACAGACGATCCAAAAAGTGTAAATATACATATGGGAGAGGAGAGGATTTCTTATGCTGGTAGCTTTTATTGGACCAACTCTAGAGTTGGGATAGAGTTCGACAAGCTTTTGAACGCTTGATAGTCTTCATCAGGTGCAACCAAAACAAGCCAAGCACAGCATGTGTATATATATATATAGAGAGAGAGAGATTGCACATGAGCAAGCACAAGCTATATATTTTAGGTGCAAGTCAATACTGTCATAAAGTGTACAAAGCTTCCACTAAAGTCACTGGGGTATATCCCACATATAAGCCCAAAAGCAATGTTTGCCTGTAAAAGTTAATGTGGAGATAATGCAGCAATATAACGGCAGCTGAAGTTTGTTTTTCAGATCCTTCAAGTGGGCACTTAGGCAACACCGCACCTGGAAAACCGTCCGATAATAAGAGACTTACTGAAACTAACCCCAAGCAGGCACTTGCCACAATGAATTCTTCTGCTTGTTTGATCCCTTCAAGCATCAACAGTCCTACTTAAAAGAAAAAAAGTCACCAGCCCAGCCACACACTTTGGAGAACCAGTGAGTCTTTCTCCATGACTTGATCTGGCTAGGTTCAGAAACCTCACACTAACAGTTGAAACCAATGCCATTTGAAAGCCTATAAAATAATTAATCACACAGTTGTGGAAGAACCATTGAATCGACATTAGTAGGTCTGAAAGCTTCAGCAGGTGGGCTAGGCCAGCTGTATAGATTCCATCAAAGCTGGTCTTGAGCCTTTATAGCTTGGGTATTACTAGGGCAGCTTGTCCCCGTTGTATTGCACTATGGTTGTACACACATGGTTTCATAGGAAGGAAAATAACCCAATTGTTTGCATATTTGAATGCCAAAAATGTACCTTCCACATCCCTATAGGAGCAGAAACACAACAGCTGAAAATGACCAAACTGAAATAGTAATGTTGCGCAATGTCAACTGAAGAGAACTTGGATTCACCTCCCGAACTCAGACTTTCCTTTTCATCCCCCATCAGGAATTCTGCTCTCCTTCCTTTCCTTGTTTGTTGCCATGGATTTCCCTCCCTAATGCTACCCGATTTCTCTAAGGCCACATAAACGGCCTTTGCAAAGATTTGTCTGGAAGTTGAAACCTCGCTTCTACCAGGATTTGGGATCCTGTTGGAAATCAAATTATCACAATTAATCGTATGAATATCGTATGGTTGCAACCTTACAAGAGGGGCTTAGCCCGGCCTATGAACTGACTGATCGGGTTCCCGCCACTGAAGACAAGTAGTTAATTCTCCTTGTACAGTTTCTCTGTAGTCCAGCCTCTCATGAACTGTAACATTTACGCTCTGTTTCCCAGCACTGGAACTTGGAATCTAATCCCAAATTCCAACAAAACTTCTAATTGTAACATCCTGCCCCTTCTTTCATTCAAGGGGGCCAGTGTAGCATTTCCATAGCATAGCTTGGTCACACCACATAGAGAAAAGAATACACTGTATTTGAAAATAAGTAACACGGTAATCATACTATATCCTAACATACTGCACTGACTTTATAACACATGCTGACAAACTGGAAGGAGCCAGGGAGTAACCTGGTGAAAGAGGAGAGGCAAGCCATTCTTTCCAAGCCATGTCTCCTTGCAACACAAAACCAACTTTTCACACACATGGATGATTCAGCAGTTCTTTCCCAGCTTGACTTCTCTTATGTTCTCGGATGACTATCAAAGAGGACTTCTCCAATAAGCCTCTCCATTTTGACTTGACATACATTTTATCATTCAAATTACAGTGCTCGTACTTATTTCAGTTCCTAAGAGGCAAGATAAACTAATAGCTAGTAACTAGAGACATCCATGATACGGGCTCCTGGTATGGAAACACAATTGTACCAGAACAACATTCTGATCTGCAACCTCCTCTTATCTCTTTTTCAGTTCTGGCCTGCTCGTGGCCAGAGACACTATACTTTCTGGTGATTTTGTGACAGATAAATGTCCTCTAAGAACTGTTTTGAGTTAATTCCAAAGTTTTAACTTGAACAAATGCTTGATTTAGAGGAGCAACAGGATTTGTTTCTAACCTAACATCTACATTACTCTGCTCTTTGCATGCAAGTGGATGGACTTTCTCGCTTTTGGGTTTCTTCCAAGAGTCTCATAATTTGTTTCCCTAACACACACTATCTGAGGGACTCTCCCATCTGCAGAAGATGGCTGGGCAGGACTAGCGCCAAAGCCCAGCACCACCTCTGTAACAGCTGGTTGAAAAGTAGGAACATATGGGGGAGGAAGAAAAGGAGCTTTCTTAAAATAACCAGAGGTGCTATATTCTTCCATTTAGTATACAGCTTATTTAAACAGGGCTCAAAACATGTGAAGGCCATTACAGATCAAAAGACATGCAAAACCATCTTACATGCTATTTATAGAAATAATGCAAATAGCCACCATAGCAAACACTGTGTGAAGCGTGTCACAAAATGGAGATTACTTGATAGTGCCACAAGACATTTTTGTATTTTAAACATAAGTTGTCTACTTTCTCATTGGCCACTCCTTCCCTCTTATTTGATCTCTGTCTTCTTTCTCATTGCTCACTCCTTCCTCTCTTTTTAGTATTTTAGTATTTACAACCTGTCCATACAGGGGAATTCTTTAGGGGTTATCTGAAAGAAGAGGGTTGAACTAGTGCTTCATGTCTGAGAATAGAATGGGAGATTTGAAGACAGAAGCAGCATTACATAGAAGACATATCAAGACGGGCACTGTTAGTGGAATAAAAGATTTGAAGGCAGATATGAAAAGAAACTGGATCTTAAGAGAATATATCAGCTTTCATGATTCCTGTATTACAACTATATAAAAACAAGCTAAAAAACAATTTCAGAGATGACAACCTTTGCCCCGAGTCTTGCTACCAACTATGCATGTTCATGAACATTACTTACAAAAAAAAAGTATACAGGGCATCTACACAGCAACAGGGAAAGTTCATTATATGGGAGAAACAACCAAACTGACTAGATATCAAGTGCTGTTTCAAATAAAATGATAAAAATGGGAAGAGATGACACATCTCTAAGTTTATTACTGAGAATGTAGGGATTACTAGTGACAGACCATTCAAAACCTCCAGACATAAGTGTTGGTTTTCACCATTTCTGAAAGCAAGCAGCTTCTCTTAAGAGCATAGGTAAATATGCACCTTCCTACTCAGCAGACCTGTTACCTTTGTGTCCTTATCTACTCACAGTTATGAAAACAAGGGGCTTTTGCTCCCATCTGTCCTGTCAAACTGCCATAGCTCAAGGAGAATGAGCTGGGTTCCTTTCTTAGTTAACACCAGCAGACTGCATGTTCCAGTCACAGGACCTCCTTTCTTACACCTATGCAAAGGAGTTGCAGAGGTGTAATCCAGCGCGTGTTTAGATGATATCAGAGTTGCCCAGACATACCCAAGGGCAGACATTAATTATAAAATCCTTGTTAGTGGTGATGATGAAAATGCCAGATGCAGAACTACTAGACTTTCTAGTGCTAAATTTGCAGTGCTGGTAGTTATAAAAAGCAAACAAACATGCATGTACTTGTAAAAGAAGCAGATCTGACCCAGGAGTTTTGGAGAATAGATTTGAGACTGCACAACACCATTCTGGGTAGGATCATGTTTCAGAGCAGACCTTAACACTACATGTCTTTAGTCAAAATGCAGCCATATTCACCTGCTAACATGGAAAAGTAAAACACAGTATACGCACCTCTGCACAGGCAAATCTAGGGCCTGTATTCCACCCTCATTTTCCTGCATTGCTCTCTGTTTCTTTTGACACTGTCTGCCCTACTCTTGTCCTCCTCTGTTTCCCTTTCCACCTTTCTAGTCGCTCCTTCTGCAGATGCTCTTCCATATATCCCATTCTTGGCCCTTCTTCTCTTTCACTCCTTGGATGACCTCGTCTACCCAGTTTCAAATTACACTGATGACTTGCATGCAATCCTACCTCCTCATGTCTTACCTGACTCCCTCCATCTGATCTGCACTTCAGTCCCTCTCTGTCAGTTACTTCTTGATATCTTGCTATCAACTAAAAGCCATCACAGTTAAACTTGCCTCCGTCATTAAGATAGCACCACCCTCCAGGTTCCTAAGGACAGTTAACAGGAGAAAGAGGAGGTGATGCACATTTTTTGTCTCTTGTCCCTTGATCTGCATGTCCATATCTTTCCCCATAACATTTCTGAGATCATTTTACTCAAAATAGCTAAGACTCTTGTTCAGGCCTTCGTTATCTCCCAGCCTGATTTTTCCTCTCTGGATCCTCCAAAACCCACATGCCCATATAGGCCCCTACTGTTGAAATCACCTCCCTACTCACCTCTCCGACCACATTCCTCACCCTTCCTTAAATCTTTCCCTTGGTTACCTGTTTTAATTGCCTCAAGGTCAATTTTCTTGTTCTCACTATCAAGGCTCTTTCACATCCATCTCTTCATACTTATCTGCTCTGTGCACAGCTCCTTTGCTCTTGCAATTGTGTTTCAACATACACTCTGCTTCTTTCTCCAGCAAATATTTTTGCACTTTCTTTCGGCCAACCTCCAGACCTGGAACGCTCTGCTGAAACTGGTCCATACCAGCAGTACCCGTTTTAGTGTGCCACTGAATCTCCCCCTGGAAAGTTAATAGTTACAAATGATTTAAAGCTGGTACCACATGCCTTCAACTCATTACATGTATTGCATGGTAAGATTCTCTATGAATTTCTTATCTAATTTACATGAATGATCTCTATTTTTTTTTTAAACAAGGACATTTAGGGGAAAAAGTTAAAATAGTATATAGATTGGTAATTTAAAGGTAAAATGTATCACAGGGCTGTTTTAATTATCCAAAAGCCAAGTGTTATAAACTCAGGATATTCTAAACCAGCTTAACTTTGTTCTCCAATGAAACCATGAAATGAAAAAAATGTGCCTTTAAAAATTAGTTTAATCCAGTCTGTGACTGCATACACCCTCCATTTCATCATACAGCTATTGCATCGTGTCACTACAAGATGGAAGTAAAGTTGTTCATTTCCACATGCAGATGGTTTAGAAATTAAACACTCTTACTATGAGCAATAAATACTCACTTTGTCTCACATTCTTGGCAAATCTACAAGTTCTGCTATCGCATGGCTCATCTTATCTGCACATATGGGTGATGGTATCTTGATACTCCCAAACAATATACAAAGAGGCAACAAAATGCCTTCATGCTACACCTGCATGTTTGAGTTTATGATAATGCAACTCATACCAATTCTACATTTGAAGAGAGAAATTAAAGTCTGATATTCCCTTTTTCTGGTATAATCTCATGTTCTGTCACAAAGTGATTTCTGTTTTCCTCCAGTGTAAATGAAAGGAAACTCTAATCCAACCTGTTTACAGTAAGACCCTCTGGAAATACGAGCATGAATTAACCCTTTGATGACAATTTACCCGGCAAATTGTACAGTGAGTGCCTATTAAGTGTTTGGGTAAAAACCCAACCCAGGTTTTTACTAGTAAGATATTGGTACTAATAGCAATATTCCAAGTGTAG